GAAGGGGAGAAGAAAAGCAAAGCACACTGCCATGTGTGTACCTACGCAACTGTCTTGCATGCTATGCTCATGTACCCCAAAACCTAAAATCCAATAAAAAATTTAAAAACAAAACAAAACAAAAAAAAACTTAAGATCTAGTCTCAACAAATGTCAAGTGTACAATACACTATTAACTATAGTTACCGTGCTGTATAGTAAATCTCTGGAACGTATTCATTCTGCATAACTGAAACTTTGTATCCTTTGACCATCATTTTTTTTCTTGATGTTATTGTAAATGGGATTGTTTCCTTAATTTCTTTTCAGACATGTTGTTGTTAGTATATAAAAATGCTGCTGATTTCTGTATATTGATTTTTGTATTCTGCAACTTTTCTGAATTCAAAGAAAGAAGAAGCCCAAAATCTAGGCTTTGAAAGATTTTGGTAGTTAGAGAAATGGTGGGGGAAGAAGATGGATATTCCAGGGTAAAGAGACATAAAGGAAAGAAAAATCAATCTGAAAACCACAAAAACCCTGTCTATGTTCTCTAAACAAGGAATCAATGTGTTGCTTTAATGGGTGCAAGGAAAACATAAGCTAGCTTTTCTCAACGAAGAGAACCATGTCCTGGCCTTATAGTTATGAGTGAAGAAATACAGACCCTACCCTCAAGAAATTTAAGATGTAAAGACACATGATCTGACCAAAGGAATAATAAAAACTACTGGGATGGGCATTGTAGCTGATACCACAGTTGGGCCTCATCCATAGAGAGTCTTAAATGCCAGAGTGAAGATTTTATTATTTATTCTGTAAGCAGGGAGGGGCCGTTAGAAGTTTTTGAGACTGAAATAAAGTGACTATATGTCGGTTTTGTAAGGAAAAGCATGGTGACAGAAGAATAATGGAGAGAAGTTTAGAAGCAGGTCACTTCGTTATTGTAATGTGTCCAATAGGGAGCGCTGAAGATCTGCAGTAGGAGCAATGACCACAGGAGTAGTGGGGGAAAGAAAAGATGGATTTGATGTCAGATTTTTGGAAGCTGGTTGTAAATATAAGGCTATGAGAGAAAAATTTAAGAAATCTGGTCAGTTGATGGCATCTATGACTTTAGGAAACACAGCAAGTGTACTATGTAAGAGAGATGCTGATCCAAGAAGGGAAATGTGGAGTTCGAATCCCAAGTCTGCCATATACTAGTTTGATGTTGAACAAGTTACTCAGCCTCCATGTGCATCTGAGGGTTAAATAAGCTAGTGAAAACAAAGAGTTTAGCGTAATGCCTCCATCACAGCAAGAGGTCAGTCATGTTAGCGATGTTTATTGTTACTATCATCGTTATCATTAGCATCATCATCGTTATCCTGGAGATGCCTAAAAGACAGTTGGAAACCAGTGCCCAGGAGAAAGACGAGGATTTGAGATAGATATTCTCAGTCACATAGAGATAATAGTTGAGTATAATAAGAGAGGGAAAATGGCCAAAGAATAGGGGTAGTCTGGGGAGAGGGCTGAGGTCACAGCTTTCATTTAAGGGATGAATAGAACTATAGGCATTAATGAAGACTCTCTAGGAGACACAACAAGTCATTCATTCCCTGGCTCATGATCACTGCACGACTTACCAGACATTTCCAGGCACAGAGAGCCAACATCTTTGGATGCACACCTTCTCTTCACAGTTACATGCCCCCAGTGCCAAAGCCCGAAGATTGTTTATTTTACATTTAAAATTTCCAGGCTTAGGACTATTCTTCATGAATCATAATGTCACAGGAAATATTTCAATTGTCTCATCTAATCTATTCAGGATATTTTTTCAGGTAAAATGAGGTCCCAACATACACAGCTAAGATTTCAGTTAATGGCTTAATAGACTTAAGCTCTCAAATATAGCACTGCTTATAAGGAGTATGTCTTATGGTTTAGGAATATGGAAATGCATTAAAGGATTTTCTATTTCCATCTTGATTTAGGTTTGGTGTGAGACTATTGCTTCTCAAGGAGAATGTGTATTATTCGGTTTCTCAATCTCAGCACTATTATTAATGTTTTGAGCCAAGCATCTTTTTTTTTTTTTTTATGAAGGGGCTGTCATCCTATTGTAGGATGTTCACAGCATCCCCTCTACCCTCTGCATGCAAGTAGAATTACCACCATCAGTTGTGACAACAAAAACCATCAACAGACATTACCACATGTCCCTCTGAGGGCAAAATTGCCCCAGATTGAGAACTATTGTTTTAACTAATTAAAAGGTACTTTTTTTCATTAAGAAGTGATGAACTCACTCAAAGTCCCAGATTTTAAAATACATGCACGGATTAATAAAAGTGAAGCATGTATTCTTTTGGCTAGTTATCCTGGAAGGAATTTATCTGTCCTCCCTTCAGGAAAAAAGGAGTTTTCATGATCAGTATCTAAATCATATAAGCCATTTTATTAAATACCTATTTCAGTGACCCAATTAAGGTCCCAGTAAAATACTACAAAGTATTTTTAATCACATAACTAATAATAAAATACTATTTTGGTAAATAAGACAATAAAGTAACATTTGTTGACACACTGCCAAATAGGTATTACATTTAAATATCCAAAACCTGGGTTTTCTAATTCCTCTACTTCTGTGTTTCCCCAAATGTGTTTCATAAAGTCCTCATCCCAAGAGATATTAAGAAACATTCTGTGAAATAAGGGTTCTACCGTTAAGAGGTTTTGAAAATGGTGGGTTAAACAATTTTCTTTTTCATACAACTCATCGGAGACTTTGCTACATTTATAGCAGTGTAAATCTCTGAGAAGCACATACAAGGTGACTTTTGATGTTTGTTTGCAGAGTTTTTCAAGCATTTAATGTTTCTCACAATACATTTTGTGAAACACTGTGCTACCCCTCGCTGCCTTACTAGCCTCCAATCTCACTGACTGAGCTCTGGATCTACAAAGACTACATGATATGAAACCTAAGATGATTCAATGCCAAGCGCAGGCCTGCAGATCAACTGCTGACAATTTAGAAGCACAGAACTGCATAGTTTCTTTCTCTCCTGTAGGCAACAAATTTACCAGAAACTGCTGTTATGTCTGAAAGTATCCATTGGGTTTTTAAATGCTAAACGATGGTCCTGGTCTTGCTAATTTAAACAAGAAAGAGAGGTTTATCGGAAATATTCTGTGCAGTTCAGAGTTGTAAAGGAATAACCAAACACAACAGCCATAGGAAGGACAGGAGTCAGGGTCACTGCAGGCACCTGTAGAGCAGAAATTCAGGAACAGTTGCTTTTGGCTCCAACCACCAGATGGCCCACTCTATACATCTTCTGACTGAGCATAAACCCTAAAGTTTCGAACTTCAAAAAGACGATGTTGATTGGCTTAGTTTGGGTCAGATGCCTACCACCCATCCCACTCCCTAAAGTCCCACGATTGGCAATCCCACCAGAATGACAGAGTGGAGGAGGAACAAAACCTCCAAAACACAAATGCTAGGAAGAAAGAAAAAAACGATGTACTTCACACTTACTTAGTGTAACAAGTAGACCTGTGCGCCTTGGTTCATTCCACTGTTTCTACCCCTACTAGTTAGTTCTTTACATTTCTTGCACACCACACTGGAGTATTTCTGATGGCCAGGTTTTCTTCTGCAACCACCTTCAATACCCGTAACAGCCTGCCTTTCTAACAGTGCAAAGAGGATCTTGGGAGGTTAAGTCCTTGTACTAAGAAACCTGGCGTTGTCGATTAATGACTTTCAAGAAAGAATCATTTAGTCTCATTATCTACTAAATACATTCATTCTTAGCAGCCACGCATAGTACTAGGGCAGAAAATGCAAGGCAATGTGAGAAGGAGGAAAAGGCAGGGTTTAAAGACAGATGTAACAAATCAATTCATTCTGACCTCCAGATGGCCCAAGTAAAGGAATTTAGTTAAGCATCTACCTTTTCCCCATCCCTGAGTCTATGGACCATAAGTTTTTCTTAGTAATTCAAAATTCTTTTGATAATTATCAATTCTATGTAAACAGAGGAGAGTCTGTTCTGTAATCCTTTTTTTTTTTTTTTTTTTTTTTTTGAGAGGGAGTCTTGCTCTGTTGCCCAGGCTAGAGTGCAGTGGCATCAATTCAGCTCACTCAACCTCCGCCTCCCAGGTTCAAGTGATTCTCCTGCCTTAGCCTCCTGGGTAACTGGAATCAGGTGTTTGCCACCACACCTGGCTATTAATAGAGATGGGGTTTCACCATGTTGGCCAGGCTAGTCTTGAACTCCTGACCTCAGGTGATCCACCCACTTCAGCCTCCCAAAGTGCTGAGATTACAGACATGAGCCATCATGCCCAGCCTATAAGAATGCTTTTTGATCGCAGACAAAGATTGCATCCTTGCCTCTGGTGGAATTCCTTCTACCTAAGAAACCTTTTTTGGGGCCAGAGTATTTCTAAGTATTTATCACCAGCACACCTTACCTTGCTAAGCAGAAATGCTACATGGAAGTCATATTGTTGGCCATGTTTTACTTTGATTAATTAATATTAATATTACAATTAACATTTTTGAGCCTGTTTAAAAAATTTTATTAGCAAATGCTCATTTGGGCTTAATTATTTGTCTCTTTGTTATAGCAAAAGTTTCAATCAATTCTACAAGAAAAGATAAAGAAAAGCATGATTTCTAACCAAGTTTTACTACTGCATTTATTTTTACAAAATATTACTTTTTAGTAATCTGTATTCCGGGGCAAAAGTAAGTAAAAGAAGTTTTACATTTTTTTATTTACTTATACAATTTATTACACAGAAAACCAAAATTTAAGTAAGAAATTATATTGCTTGAGAAAGTACAAAACGCTGGGGACAATGACATGCAACAAATACTTCTTGCAAAGAAAATCTTTTACTTAATAGTCAAACTCTACAGAAAACATCAAGAATAGAACAGTCGAAGAAGCAGCTTATCCTCTCCTTCTGGAATCTCTACCTGGTTCAGCCCGCCTGCCTCCACTCCTGACTCTGCCATGTCCATCAGGGTGACCCAGAAGTCCTACAAGGTGTCCACCTCTGTCCCCGGGGCCTTCAGCAGCCACTCCTTCATGAGTGGGCCCAGTGCCCACTTGAGCTCCTCGAGCTTCTCCCGAGTGAGCAGCAATGGCTTCCGGGGTGGCATGGGTACAGGCTATGCTGGGGCCAGCGGCATAGTCATGGGAGGCATCACCGCTGTCACCATCAACCAGAGCCTGCTGAACCCCATTAAGGTGGATGTGGACCCCAACATCCAGGCCGTGCGTACCCAGGAGAAGGAGCAGATCAAGACCCTCAACAACAAGTTTGCTTCCTTCATCGACAAGATGCAGTTCCTGGAGTGGCAGAACAAGATGCTGGAGACCAAGTGGAGCCTCCTGCAGCAGCAGAACATGGCTAGGAGCAACATGGACAACATGTTTGAGAACTACATCAACAACCTGAGGCAGCAGCTGGAGACTCTGGGCCAGGAGAAGCTGAAGCTGGAGGCGGAAATTGGCAACATGCAGGGGCTGGTGGAGGACTTCAAGAACAAGTATGAGGAAGAGATCAATAAGCGTACAGAGATGGAGAATGAATTTGTCCTCATCAAGAAGGATGTGGATGAAGCTTACATGAACAAGGTAGAGCTGGAGTCTCGCCTGGAAGGACTCACTGACGAGATCACCTTCCTCAGGCAGCTGTATGAAGAGGAGATCCGGGAGCTGCAGTCCCAGATCTCCGACATGTCTGTGGTGCTGTCTGTGGACAACAGCTGCTCCCTGGACATGGACAGTATCATCGCTGAGGTCAAGGCGCAGTACGAGGAGATCGCCAACCGCAGCCGGGCTGAGGCAGACAGTGTATACCAGATCAAGTATGAGGAGCTGCAGACGCTGGCTGGGAAGCACAGGGATGACCTGCGGCATACGAAGACTGAGATCTCCGAGATGAACTGGAACATCAGCCGGCTCCAGGCTGAGATCGAGGGCCTCAAAGGCCAGAGGGCTTCCCTGGAGGCCACCATTGCAGATGCTGAGCAGCACGGGGATCGGGCACTCAAGGATGCTGATGCCAAGCAGCAGGAGCTGGAGGCCACCCTGCAGTGGGCCAAGCAGGACATGGCAAAGCAGCTGCGTGAGTACCAGGAGCTGATGAGTGGCAAACTGGCCCTGGACATCGAGATCGCCACCTACTGCAAGCTACTGGAGGGCAAGGAGAGCCAGCTGGAGTCCGGAATGCAGAACATGAGTATCCACACGAAGACCACCAGCGTCTATGCAGGTGGTCTGAGCTCTGCCTATGGCGGCCTCACAAGCCCCGGCCTCAGCTACGGCCTGGGCTCCAGCTTTGGCTCTGTCATGGACTCCAGCTCCTTCAGCTGCACCAGTTCCACCAAGGCTGTGGTTGTGAAGAAGATTGAGACCCGCGATGGGAGGCTGGTGTCCAAGTCCTCTGACGTCCTGCCCAAGTGAACAGCTGCAACAGCCCCTCCCAGCCTGCCCCTCCTGAGGCTGCCCCAGAGCCCAGGAGGGAGGTTGCTGTGCAGGGGAGTGCAGGGAACAGGAGACCCACCTGATGCTCAGCCCTAGCCCTCAGCCCACCAGCAGGGAGTTTCCTGCCTGGGGAACCCCTTGCCCGTGCCTCCAGCTGCAAAACAATTCAATTGCTTTTTTTTTTTTTTTTTTTGGTCCAAAATAAAATCTCAGCTAGCTCGGGGAAAAAAAAAAAGAATAGAACAGTCACACACCCAGACAGTGACAAAAGGATGCTACCTATGTTCTATTTTTTTGGTTTTCAGCTGTTTCTTTTTCTGAAAACAAGGGGCTCTGTGCTCTTTAAGGAAAGGGGATCTGTGAAAGGAACATTCGCCTTCTCTGTGTTCCGTCCTGGAGAAGGGGAGAGTTGCTGTCTGAGAACGCACTCACCACCATTGAAAAAAAGGTTGAGAGAGAGAAGAGGTTATAAAGTAGAAATTAAAACTTGGCCTACTCCCAACACCACTGATAATGCCTCAAACACACATGAATCTGTTGAGTAGTATCTGAAGACAAGACTCGTAGCAGGCATTTATCTTTGAAACATATTTAGATAGATTTGTTTTTTAATCTACTTAAAAATGTGTACTGAATAAACCTTAAATAGCAAATCTCAAAATAAAGAGGTCATTTACATCTAAGGAAACAGAATCGGTTAATTAGAGCTAAAAAATTATAGCTCTGGGTATGCATTTTAATTTGGCTGGCTGTCAGGGCATTGTTATCCTGAGCAATTACAAAACAAACTCATATATACAGGAAGTCAACATCTGGGGGGGGGTTCTACAGGTTGAACGACTATTAATAAAAATCTTCCTTTTAATCCTTGACTGTCCTCTGCCTATCCCAACAGAATATCAAATTAAAGACAATTTTTTTTTTCTGGTACTTAACAAACATCATGTAGTTTTGGCAATGATGAAATCCACAATACTTGAGAGTAACAGTGGGGTCTGCCAGTAGGGGGAGTTCGAGCCAAGTTTAGCAAAAGAGAGCTGCAGAAATGGGAATTTACGGGAGGATTCTAGGAGAAGTGGGCTTGCAAATAGTATATAACAAAATGAAGAGTAAAGCCAAAGTATTGATGGCAGGGCTTCTGTTGGTGTAATTGCATGGACCCGATTTTCCACAGAGAAACAGCAGTAGCCAGTAGAAATGGCAGTAGAGTGTGGGCACAAGAGATTCCATTTAATGTGTGTATCATAATTCATTTAACCCTTTATTTCCATACACACCCTATTTTTGTTCATTTGATTTCTGTTTTTGTTTTGTTTTGCTAGCACACATCATACTTGGATGGCTGTCCAAAATAAGAATTTCAGTTGATAAGTAGGTTACTCATTTCTCCCATAGACCTATATTTTATAAACCCTAGAACCCCTTGGCCTATGACCCCACATATTACAGTAAGATTAACCCTTGCAGATCTTCATAAGGATCTTTTGTTACCCAAGTTGTCTAAGTTTCACTTTAAGTAATACTCATGCAGTATTTTTCCCTAATTCATTAACTATAGTTCCCTTTCCCTTAGATACACTCGAATTTCAGTCCCATTTTCAAAAAAAAAAAAAAAAAAAAAAAAAAAAAAAAACACCTTTCCCCTTTCCCTCCACCAGATAACAGATCCTTGTATTTGCAAGAGAGGCCTTCAAAATTCTATACCAGCTTTTCTCCAATAAACAACAGGTCTTGGTCTCTTAAAATAGTATTGTACATGAGGGAAGATGAGAATTATGCCAAATGCTACTGTTGAAAACACTTTTTTTGCATAATTGAGAAAACAGTTGAGACTTTTTGAAATGATGCGATATTTATTCATCTTTAGTCAAGCCATAGACAGAAGCCCTTTAGAAGTAACGGCTTGGAGCCTCTCCAAAAATCCAAGGTTCAAATTCTAGTTTTGTATGTACTAACCAGGTGACTCTGGAAGAGTTACCTTAACTCTCTAAGTCCATGTCTTTTTAAAATGGATAAATAGTAATGACTTTTCAGAGTTGTTTGAAAGAAAGAGACCACATATGTCTCTGGCAGTGCTCAATAAATGACTGCTATTCTTAATAAAATGGTAGCTAAAGCTCATGGTCTTCATAAATGTAGATTCCCAACACCTTCTATGAAAATGAGTCTAGACAAACAGATTCCCATTGTAAAACAGATCACAGGTCTTTTCTACAAATGGTTAGACTGCCAGAATTAAATGCTATGACATTTAGTCACTTCCTTACTCTGGGTATACAGAAAGATGGCTTCAGCCATGCCTCTCTGCTGGATATCTGAACAACTTCTGTCTAAATGCACCAAAACACTAGGCTGGGGAGAGCACAATATGTATGTACTAGGTCTAGAGATAGAACAATGGCTGAGAAGATAAATGAGAAAGTCCACAATGAACCAACAGAACAATCAATCCTGAAAGAATTATTTCTGTAATCCTTGTATTACAGAAGTAATACAAAGAAAAAAAACACTGTTTTAATGCTAATAGGTGTCCACAGAGAAATTAGGACACACACACACACACACACACACACACACACACACTTCTGAAAAAAAAATCAAGCAAAGAACAACAAATTCTGCAGAGGAACTGAGTTATTCAATTCTGTTAAAAATGTACCTGGGAATAATTTACATTATTTAGGTGATGGCTACCCTAAAAGCACTGATTTGACTACTGTGTAATCCGTGCATGTAACAAAATCACACTTGTACCTTACAAATTTATGCCAAAAAAAAAATGTACCTAATCTGAAAGACATAGTCAGGGTTATTTTCCAGAATTCAAAGCAAAAATACTGAAGTAAAGATATGAAGGATCAATCCATAAGGTTCATATCTGGATAACAAGAGTCACAGGATGAGTGAACAGATACCATGGAGGCTGCACTGAAAGAAAGGTCTGGTCTTCAGATTAAAAAGGCCCACCAGGAGCCACAGGTTAATAAATGAAAGACCCACACTCAAACATGCCAAAGATTAAAATGATAAAGACATAAAAAGAACTGTACAGGTGTCCATTAAAGGGTTACCTCCAAAGAATGAGAATCCATTGGTATCAGACTGCCTATGAGCAACACTAGATGCTAGAAAACAATAAGAAAGGTTGCTGAAGTTCTAAGGAAAATTATTTGCAACCTATAATTCTATACTAAACTATCCATCAAATTTCAGCACAAAATAGACACTCCCAGACATGCAAGAACTCACACTCAAAGCCTCCCTTCTATGGACCCATTTAAAACATATTCACGTGAGGACGTTACAACAAAACACACACGAAAAGATATAAAAGTGAGAATAGAAAAGGGGCAGAGCAAGATGGCTCCATTAATCATCCTCTGCCCAAAGAAGAACACCAATTTAGCAACTATTGGCCAGGCACCATGGCTCATGCCTGTAATCCCAGCACTTTGGGAGGCCTAGGCAGGTGGATCACTTGAGACCAGAAGTTCAAGACCCACCTGGCCAACATGTTGAAACCCCATGTCTACTAAAAATACAAAAATTAGCCAGGCATGTTAGCACATGCCTATAATCCCAGCTACTCAAGAGGCTGAGGCAGGAGAATCGCTTGAACCCGGAAAGTGGAGGTTGCAGTAAGCTGAGATCATGAAAATGCACTCTAGCCTGGGTGATGAAGTGAGACTCTGTTTCTAAATAAATAAATAAATAAAGACGTATGAATTTATTTTTTAAAAAAAAAACAAATCCATTGATTTGTTGCCTACAAGAAATGCTTCACCTATAAAGATACACATAAATTGAAAAATTGAAAATAAAGGGATGGAAAAAGATATTCCATGCCAACAGAAACCAAGAAAGAACAGGAGTAGTTATATCAGACAAAATAGATTTTAAGACAAAAACTATAAGAAGAGACAAAGAAGGTTACTATCTAATGATAAAGAGATCAATTCAGCACAAGGATGCAACAATTTTAAATACACACGCAGCCAACACTGGAGTATCCAGATACATAAAGCAAAAAGGGAGATAAACTCCAATACAATAATTGCTGGAAACTTCAACACCCCAATTTCAGCATTCAGCAGATTTTCAGGCAAAATCAACAAAGAAACATCAGACTTAATCTGTACAATGGAGCAAATTGATCTAATAGGTACATATAGAACATTTCATCCAACAGCTGCAGAATATGAATTGTTTTCCTTAGCACACGGATTATTGTCAAGAATAGAAAATATATTAGGTTGGGCCGGGCATGGTGGCTCATGCTGTAATCCCAGCACTTTGGGAGGCCGAGGTGGGTGGATCACGAGGTCAACAGATTGAGACCATCCTGGTCAACATGGTGAAACCCCATCTCTACAACAAATTAGCTGGGCATGGTGGCATGTGCCTGTAATACTGGCTACTCAGGAGGCTGAGGCAGGAGAATTGCCTGAACCCAGGAGGCAGAGGTTGCAGTGAGCTGAGATCACGCCATTGCACTCCAGCCTGGGTAACAAGAGCGAAACTCCATCTCAAAAAAAAGAAAATATATTAGATCACAAAACAAGTCTTAAAACATTCTAAAAAACTGAAATACTATCAAGCATCTTCTCTGACCACAATGGAATAAAACTTGAAATTAATAACAAGAGGAATTTTGGAAACAATACAAATACATAGAAATTATACAACATGCACCTGAATGACCACTGGCCCAAGGAAGAAATTAAGAAGGAAATTGAATAAACATTATGAAACTTAATTAAACACAACATACCAAACTCTATGGAATACCATGAAAGTAGTACTAGGAAGAAAGTTTATAGCTATTAGTACCTACATCAAAAAAGAAAAAAAAAACAAATAAACAACCTAACAATGCATCTTAAAGGATAAGAAAAGCAAGAGCAAATCAAACCAAAAATTACAAGAAAAAACAATAGGAGCCTGACCAAGATAGCCAACTAGAAGAAGCTAGTGTGCACCACTTTCACAGAGAAAAATATAGACAGTGAGTAAATATAGCACCTTCAAATGAAACATCAGGAATACACATTGGGATTCACCAAGAAAACAACTCAACCCATGGAGAACAGAGAAAAGCAAGGCAGGACAACGCTCACCCAGGAATGACACAGAGCCAGGGGAGCCTCCCTGCCCAGAAAAGTAGTGAATGAGTTAGCAACCCTGGGACCCATGCTTCTCCCAAGGATATTTACAACCCTCAAGTCAAGAGATCCCCTTGTAAATCAACTCCACCTGGTCCTGTAGTCTGACACGCAGAGCTATGTGGAGTTTCAGCAGAGCAGCCATTGGAAACTTTACGTAACTGGACTTCCCAGCAAAAGTAGCTGCAATTCCAGAAAAGCAGGGAGTTTATACCAATAAGAAAGGGGCTGAATCCAGGGGGTTGAGAAGCAATAGTCTTCAGGTCCTACTTCCATCACACCTTGCAGAATAAGAACTACTGACTTGGAA